ACGGCCTACTGAGACTGCTAACACACCACTGCTGGAGGGGGAGAGGCTCTGTCTCGGGGAATGGGGGGGAAGAAGAGGGAGGGAGACATTGGCAGCTAGGGACACTTCTGGCAGCAGGCAACGCTCCACTCCTGCTCCCAACCCTCCCACCATGGTACTGGAGAACTGTTACGCTGTTCTGGATACAGAAAATAAGGATAAAAAATAAGGGTGATCTTATGCTAAGGGTCTACTACAGACCACCTACCCAGGCAGAAGAGGTGGATGAGACTTTTTTTAAACACCTCACAAAATTATCCAAAGCACAAGATTTGATGGTGATGGGGAACTTTAACTATCCAGACATACGTTGGAAAACTAACACAGTGGGGCACAGATTATCCAACAAGTTCTTGGACTGCATTGGAGACAATTTTTTATTTCAGAAGGTTGAGAAAGCTACTGGGGGGGTGTAGCCAGACACAAACCCCATCTTGTTTTTCCACGAACCCCATCTTGTTTCCCCCCCCCAGAGAGCAAGAGAAAGGCAGTCAGCCTTTGATGCCCTGGGAACGCAGGTGTGGTGCCTGTCCCTGACTCTACCATAAACAGAACCCAGACAGTAAATGGGCTAGCTGACGACTGGGAGGCCTCCTGTTGCCGTGATGGCTAGTATCAGTAATTGACACACCTGCACTGTCTCAGGAGAAGAATCTACGCCCATCACATACCAGAGGTGCCCATTGTCTGCATCTTCCCAGGTGTGAATTATGCTTTGTACACTTCATGGGAAACTTGGCATTCAAAGCCATTTTTCCTAATTGGCCACTTGAGACCAGGAAGAAGCCCATGTGACCCAAGGGGTATAAAGAGGGTTTCGTTGCCCACCCCAGTTGAGCTCCAATCACCTACACCTGCTGGCAGGTACTGATTGTCTCCCGAGGTCCGTGAGACGCCCAACCTCGTCCTACTTCTTCCCGAGGGATTGAGAGAAAGACACTGGCCACGCAAAGTCTGGAACGCAGGGGTGAGAATTGTACCTGCAATGTGTTTTCTTTATGTGTACACTCTAATTGTCTCTCTGTTATAAGTTTAGTTACTTTATTATAGTTTCTTAAGGCAAACTGCTTCATTTCTATTGTAAACTGCCTTTCGTAAGGTGATTTAGCTATAAACTTTGGGAATAAGTGGGATGCCCTCATGCACTTATAAAATATATATATATATATATAGAACCAAGTTTCTTTTATTTTATTAAGGCAAACTGCTTCATTTCTATTGTAAACTGCCTTTGGTAAGGTGATTTAGCTATAAACTTTGGGAATAAGTGGGATGCCCTCATGCACTTATAAAATATATATATATATATATATTGAACCAAGTTTCTTTTATTTTATTTTCTCTTTCTTTCTCCTATAATAAGCCAGTGAGTATCAAGCTTCTGCCTTGAACCCGTGCTGCTGTAGCCGAACCGAACACAAACAAAAGAACTTCAGCCGGTCAAAAGGACAGGTATAGGGAGAGTTTGGACGTTTTGGATTGTGTCACTCCCCGGTGGCAGATCCATTGGGGCACTTCTCAGTCTTTCTCTAAGGCTGCCCGCTGCGAAGGAATCTTGTATTCTAGCAGCTAAAATCTGAGATGTGTTAAGCTCTCCCTATAAACTTATTGGGGCGCCCGTCAACCTCCTCCAGGTTGCCCACTGCAAGGGACCCCGGTCCCAGCAGTTGAAGTCTCGGGTGTATAGTGCACACACACACCGGGATGTCTGAGAACCTGTTGGCTGCCCTCTGCGACGGGACCCCGGTCCTAGCAGTAAAGTCACAGACATTAAACTATTTTTGGGGTGCCCTCCAGCCTTCTAGGCTGCCCACTGCAACGAGACTTTGCATCTCTGGGGGGGGGGGGAGCTGTTCTTGATTTGATTTTAACAAATAGGGAGGAACTATTTGAAAATTTGAAAGTGGAAGGCAGTTTGGGTGAAAGTGACCATGAAATCATAGAGTTCATGATTCTACGGAATGGTAGAAAGGAGAACAGCAAAAGAGAGATAATAGATTTCATGAAGGCAGATTTCAGTAGGATCAGAGAGCTGGTAGATAAGGTTCCATGGGAAGCAAGACTAGGAGGAAAAACAACTGAAGAAAGTTGGGAGTTTTTTAAAGGGACATTATTAAGGGCCCAAAAGAAAACTATTCCATTGCATAAGAAATATAGAAGGTATGACAAAAGACCATCTTGGCTTAAACAGGAGATCTTTCAGGATCTAAAAATCAAAGAGGAGTCATACAAAAAGTGGAAATTAGGTCAAATTACAAAGGATAAATATAAGCAAATAACACAGGTAGGAAGGGGTAAGATTAGAAAGGCAAGAGCACAAAAAGAGCTAAATCTAGCTAGAGGCATAAAGGGTAACAAGAAGTTGTTCTATAAGTATATTAGGAGCAAGAGGAAGACCAAGGACAGGGTAGGCCCATTGCTCAGTGAAGAGGGAGAAACAATAACAGGAAACTTGGAAATGGCAGAGGTGCTTAATGATTTTTTTGTTTCAGTTTTCATCAAGATGGATGGATGGTGATGGGATGCCAAACACAGAGAATGCAAGTGGAAATAGGGTAGGTTTAAAATAAAAAAAGAACAAGTTAAAAATCATGCAAGTCACCAGGGCCTGATGAAATGCATCCTAAAATACAAAAGGAGCTGATATGAAAGGCTCAGATACTTTTTCTCTTTGAAAAATAACGGAAGTTGGGAGAGATTCCAGAAGATTGAAAAAGGGGAAATATAGTCCCCATCTATAAAAAGGGAAACAAGAAGAAACCCAGGAAACAACGGACCAGTCAGTTTAACTTCTGGGCCAGGGAAGATAATGGAGCAAGTAATTAAGGAATTCATCTGCAAACATCTGGAAGAAAATAAGGTGCTAAGTAATAGTCAGCATGGATTTGTAAAGAACAAATCATGTCAAACCAATCTGATAGCTTTCTTTGATAGGATAACAAGTCTTGTAGATAAGGGAGAAGCGGTGGATATGGTATACTTTAGTAAGGCATTTGACACGATCTTGCCTGATCTTCTTATCAATAAATTAGGGAAATACAACCAGATGGGTCTACTATGATCTTTGAAAAATCATGGAAGACAGGGGAGATTCCAGAAGACTGGAAAAGGGCAAATATTGTGCCCATCTATAAAAAGGGGAATAAGAACAACCCAGGAAACTATAGACCGGTCAGTTTAACGTCTGTCCCAGGGAAGATAATGGAGCAGGTAATTAAGGAAATCATATGCAAACACTTGGAAGGTAATAAAGTGATAGGGAATAGCCAGCATGGGTTTGTGAAGAACAAGTCATGCCAAACTAATCTGATAGCTTTCTTTGATAGGATAACGAGCCTTGTAGATAAGGGAGAAGCGGTGGATATGGTATACTTTAGTAAGGCATTTGACACGATCTTGCCTGATCTTCTTATCAATAAATTAGGGAAATACAACCAGATGGGTCTACTATGATCTTTGAAAAATCATGGAAGACAGGGGAGATTCCAGAAGACTGGAAAAGGGCAAATATTGTGCCCATCTATAAAAAGGGGAATAAGAACAACCCAGGAAACTACAGACCGGTCAGTTTAACGTCTGTCCCAGGGAAGATAATGGAGCAGGTAATTAAGGAAATCATATGCAAACACTTGGAAGG